TTAGCATAAAGACTTTCAATAGCAATACTTCTAGGTGTAAATTTAAAGATTTCATTCTTGCAAAAAGGATCTCTTATCATTTCAACAAAATCCAGGTGGATACTAATCGTCTTAAGATCTCCTTTATTGCTATCACTAGAAGTTACACCCTTGTTCCTGGCATCCCTTCTACTTTTTACGGGAGTTTTCTCAATAGTACTAGCGGAAAAAAGTCGTGCTTAGATTACTAAAGATTTCTTCCAATTTATCAATCCGAGACAGACTTTCTTCTATTCTTTCATGGATTGTGGTACCCTTCTTTTTTAACAACTTAAAAATATCTCCCGCTTTTGACCCAATATTGGTGGCAAAATTATGCATCTTTTCATCTATAGTTTCCATATGATCTTCGGTGAGAATTTTCTTTTCAATAGCATCTAGTCTTTCCATAACATGCTCAAGAGTCAAAATTGTTTCATTGATCATGAGAGGTGGTGATCCCACTAAATTTCCATAGCATTAAAAGCATCAAGAGAGGGGCACATCAAGAAATATCCACCGGTAATCGTATCAAGGATGAATCTATACCAAGTGGTGATGCCAACATAAAAACTGCGAAGAAGAACAATGGTAGATTGCTTATGAATAGATCTATTATGAGCATTGCAATTTCTATACCAAGCATCTTTTAAATTCTCTCCTCCCCTTTGTTTAAAGTTGAGAACCTCATTCTCAGGAGTGCAAACGATAGAAGAAGAATTATCCATAGTAACAACAAACAAGGTTGCACACAAAACAGATCTGGCAATAAACTGGCGAACGGAAAAAGAGAGACGAATAAAACGGCAAATTTTGTGAAGTGGGGGAGAGGAAAACGAGAGGCAAATGGCAAATAATGTAAATTGCGAGGAGATGAGATTTGTGATTAGGAACCTGGTATATGTTGAAGATCCTCCCCGGCAACGGCGCCAGAAATTCCTTTTGATGTAACTTGAAGCTACGTCGGTATTTACCCAAAGAGGAAGGGATGATGTAGCATAGCGGAGGTAGGTATTTCCCTCAGATATATCGAACCAGTAGGAGAACCAAGCAACACAACGTAAACAACCCCTGCACACAAATAACAACACCTCGCAACCCGACGTGTTAAAGGGGTTGTCAATCCCTTTCGGGTAACGGCGCCAGAAACGGTGCATGGACGGGAGAAAGTTGTAATAAATTGATAGAGCGAACGCCAAATAAAATAAATAGAAATAAAATGCAGCAAGGTATTTTTGGGTTTTTGGTTTAATAGATCTGAAAATAAACGCAAGGAAAAAGTAGATCGTAAAGGCAAATATATGAGAAAGAAGACCTGGGGCCGTAGGTTTCACTAGTGGCTTCTCTCGAGAAAAATAGGAAACGGTGGGTAAACAAATTATTGTTGGGCAATTGATAGAACTTCAAATACTCATGACAATATCCAGGCAATGATCATTATATAGGCATCACGTCCAAGATTAGTAGACCGACTCCTGCCTACATCTACTACTATTACTCCATACATCGACCGCTATCCAGCATGCATCTAGTGTATTAAGTTCATGGAGAAATAGAGTAATGCAATAAGAATGATGACAGGATGTAGACAAGATCTATCTATGTAGAGATAGTCCCCATCATTTTATCCTTAGTAGCAACGATACATACATGTCGGTTCCCTTTCTGTCACTAGGATCAAGCACCGTAAGATCGAACCCAGTACAAAGCACCTCTTCCCATTGGAATATAAATAGATCAAGTTGGCCAAACAAAACCCAAATATCGGAGAAGAAATACGAGGCTATAAGCAATCATGCATAAAAGAGATCAAAGAAACTCAAATACTTTCATGGATATAAAAAGATAGATCTGATCATAAACTCAAAGTTCATCGATCCCAACAAAAACACCGCAAAAGAGTTACATCATATGGATCTCTAAGAGACCATTGTATTGAGAATCAAGAGAGAGAGAGAGAGAGAGAGAAAGCCATCTAGCTACTAACTACGAACCCAAAGGTCTACAACAAACTACTCACGCATCATCGGAGAGGCACCAATTGAGGTGGTGAACCCCATCCGAGATGGTGTCTAGATTGGATCTGGTGGTTCTGAACTCTGTGGCGGCTGGATGAATATTTCATCGACTCCCCTAGGGTTCTTGAAATATTGGGGTATTTATAGAGCAAAGAGGCGGTCCGGGGGCACCCGAGGTGGGCACAACCCACCAGGGCACGCCTGGGCATCCTGGCGCGCTCTGGTGGGTTGTGCCCCCATCGGGGCACCCCCAGGCGCATCCAGGGCCCGTTGTGTTCCTTTTGGCCCATAAAAAATATCCGTAAAGTTTCATGGCATTTGGACTCCGTCTAATATTGATTTTCTACACTGTAAAAAACAGGAACCGCACTTGGCACTATGTCAATAGGTTAGTACCCAAAAAATGATATAAAATGACTATAAAATGATTATGAAACATCCAAGATTGATAATATAACAGCATGGAACAATAAAAAATTATAGATACGTTGGAGACGTATCAATTACCGAGAGGGCCCAGAGATACCTCTCCGATAATCGGAGTGATAAATCCTAATCTCGGTCTATGCCAACTCAACAAACACCTTCGGAGACATCTGTAGAGCATCTTTACAATCATCTAGTTACGTTGCGACATTTGATAGCACACAAGGTGTTCCTCCAGTATTCGGGAGTTGCATAATCTCATAGTCAGAGGAATATGTATAAGTCATGAAGAAATCAATAGCAGTAAAACTTAATGATCATTATGCTAAGCTAGCGGATGGGTCTTGTCCATCACACCATTCTCTAATGATGTGATCCCGTTCATCAAATAACAATACATATCTATGGTTAGGAAACATAATCATCTTTGATCAACGAGCTAGTCAAGTAGAGGCATACTAGGGACACTTTGTTTTGTCTATGTATTCACACATGTACTAAGTTTCCGGTTAATACAATTCTAGCATGAATAATAAACATTTATCATGATATAAGGAAATATAAAGAACAACTTTATTATTGCCTCTAGGGCATATTTCCTTCAAAAACAAACTTAATTTGAATTTAGTTCAAACTTAGGTTGGCTATAACTTCAAAACCATACACTCAATTTGAATAAATCATTTAGCATTACAATTGAGGAACCTGAATTGAACCTTTGCGAATAATTTTGGAGTCGTACTCCCTCCATTCCACAATGTAGTGCGGCCGCGCTTCTCGAGATTTAAGTTTGACCGTGAATTTAACCAATGAGACCGACTGTGGCGGGAACAAAAATTATATCACTGAATTATATCGAAAATACGAAATCAGTGATATAATTTTTGCTCCCGCCGCATTCGGTCTCGTTGGTTAAATTTACGGTCAAACTTGAATCTTGGGAAACGCGGGCACACTACATTATGGAATGGAGGGAGTACTTGGCATTAGGAATTCAAACATAGTTGAATATAGTTTAAACTCAAATGGAACTTAAGGTCATTTATTAATCCAAATCAAATCAAACTTTCACAAATGAAATCATGAACCAACTTTAGTCAATTATGAAATACTTGAACTTGAACCTAGATTTACAAAATTCAAACTTAGTTGAATTCAAATGCATACCTTAACTTAAACTTACTCCAATTTGAGTTTAAACAACAAATTCAAATTGAATTGTGACTCAAGCTATAACTCCTCGGGTACTTCAAACCTTAATGAATTTATTCGCTGAAATCAACTATGAATTTTTTTTGGCCTTTTGAAATGTTATGAGCAGCTTCGGTCACAGCTCAGGCTTCGGTACTCTGATCATCTCGGCATGTCCGGTGGTTGTTTGCGCGGAGCACAGTCGCCAGAAGTCTTGCATATTTCCCTTGTGAAGCTTGTCATCAAAGTCGGGCTGTCGGTTGTTCGCGCGTGTGGCCTTCAGTTGGCATGTGCCATCATGGCTTCTGTGTAACTGTTTGCGGGTTGGCGTCTATGATGAAGCTCTTTGGGTAAGTCGGAGTCGCTCGTTCAGACATAACCGGTGATGACAATAACGCTTCCATCTTCTCGACGATGTCTTTTCTTCTTTGCAATCATGTTTCATATTGGTGGTCAGGTTGGTCGGCGGTGCCCATATTACGTGGGTTGAGTTGTATCGATTTTACCCCGGTTTTCGTCAGACAGTTCTTGCTCTTTTCTTAATCAATGAAAATGGTACTTTTGCCTTGTTTTAAAAAAAGAAATGCTCCGAGGACTTGACCATTTACATCAGACGTTCTTTTCTCGAAAATCCTTAAGACTCATCGTACGCGAGCTGTCACGACGCTGAAATTTGTAGTACGTTAGTACGCCCAACAGCTCTTCTGATTTGCCTTTTACTCTAAACCGTGTGTGAAGCCTACTTTGTTTGGACGAGGCTCCTCTGACGTACTGCAGGGCGCTGCAGTACGTCAGGGGAGCCGAGTCCACTTTGTTTACTCCACGAGCATACTGGAGGCGGAAACTTAAATGAAATATGGATGAGCCACCTACTACTCCTTCCGTTTCGAATTACTTGTCCTAGATTATCCGTATCTAAACAATTCTAAGACAAGTAATTCGGAACGGAGGGAATATATCCTATTGGCAGCGGGGATACGGTTGGCCAGTAGCTCTCAAAATTTAACTGGCGATATGAATATGATTCCTTGGACAAGATGGCGCCACGTGTGGAGCGGACCACCGTCCACTTGCTTGTGCCACGTGATGATATCATCCATCGCCTCCCACCGCGCAGTCCGGTGCTCTGGAGAAGAGAAGGCGCGAGGTTCGCCGGAGAGGAGAGGACGAACTGCTGCCGGCGGCAACCGCCACGTCGGTAAACTGCTTATACCTAATGTGTTAACTTCACTTGAAACAAAAGCAGTTTGCAGCTAATTAAGATATCGTCTTCCTGTCCCTTTCGCCGCTGGGCAGCAATTGATTGATTGATTCCGGCGTGTTCGACGGCGCCGGCCAGCCGCATCCATGCTGGCTCACCCGGGCGGGGTCGGGGTGGTCCGAGCTTCGGTGGCCAGGGAGCCCCTCTTCACCTTCGGCGTCATCGCCGACGTCCAGTACGCCGACATACCGGACGGCCGCTCCTTCCTCGGCGTGCCTCGGTACTATCGCCACAGCATCACCGTGCTCCAGAGGGCGGTCCGCAGCTGGAACAGCCACAAGGCCGGCGTCAAGTTCTGCGTCAACTTCGGCGACATCGTCGACGGGTTCTGCCCCAAGGACCGGTCGCTTTCAGCCGTGCAGGCCGTCGTGGCAGAGTTCGACCGGTTCCACGGCGGCCCGGCGTACCACATGCTCGGCAACCACTGCCTGTACAACCTCCCAAGGAGCGAGCTGGTGTCCGTGCTGCGGATGCCTGGGCGCGCCTACTACGACTTCTCGCCGTGGCCGGGGTACAGGTTCGTGGTCCTGGACGCGTACGACTTCAGTGCCGTCGGCTGGCCGCGCGACCACCCTGTGGCGGCGGCGGCCAGGAGGTTCCTGGAGGAGAGGAACCCGAACTCGGATAAAAACAGCCCGACCGGGCTGGCAGGGGAGGACCGGCGGTTCGTGATGTTCAACGGCGGCGTGGGCGAGGAGCAGCTTCGGTGGCTGGACGGCGTCCTGCGGGACGCGTCGCGGCGCGGGGAGACCGTGGTGGTGTGCAGCCACCTGCCGCTCCACCCCGGTGCGGCGTCCCCCGCGGGGCTTATGTGGAACTACGAGGAGGCGCTGGCAGTGGTGCACCGGCACGGATGCGTCGCGGCGTGCCTCGCGGGGCACGACCACAAGGGCGGGTACGCCGTGGACGCGTGCGGCGTGCACCACCGCACCCTGGAGGCCGCGCTCGAGTGCCCGCCAGGCACCGACGCGTTTGGCCACGTCGATGTGTTCCCCGGCAGGCTGTCGCTCGCCGGATCCGGCAGGATGGCGAGCACCGACATGCTGCTCACCCTCCCTCGGCTGAGCTAGCTAGCAGCAGCAGCAGCTGCTGCTGCTTCAGTATTCATGCGAGCAGCTGATGCTTGCTCCACTCGATCCACGGGTTCGGCTGTACTGTGTAGCCATTAGCTCGCAACAGTTACTTAGTTGTATGTGTAACGATTCACCATCTCGAACTGATTCGACTCAAATTGGAAATGGTGCGTAGAATTTGCAAATGTCATTTGGAAATGTGTTCTAACTTGTAAATTGCCGCTCTTTCTCACTGGAGGAGCGGACAATGCTACACGTACCAAAAGTACTCCCTCCGTTTTTTTTGTTTGCATATATAAAATTTGGTCAAAGTCAAACTTTGTGACTAGCTTTGTATGAAAATATATCAACATTCACACTATGAAATCAATATTATAAATGCATGATGAAATTAATTTTCATAACATATAACTTTTGTTTTGTGGATGTTGATATTGTTTCTATAGTCAAACTTTACAAAGTTTGACTTTGACCCAAATCTTACATACGAACAAAAAAGAAACGGAGAAAGTAATGCAAGAGTTCTACTTAAAAGCTGATGTGAAGAAGATTAATTGGGTCAGGATTAGCAGCTGAGGCCCACCCCCGTTGAAATTCATGGGGCCAATAGGATTTGTTTAGAAGGTTACGTAGGTCTTCATGGTCTATTCGTAGATGTAGCATTATTGATAGAGCGGCAGTGTTTTTCCTTTCACTTCTGCTTTGATACACCCTTTCTAAATATATCAAAACATATCAACGGTGGAGGTCCATCCATTATTGATTAGCATTATGCCACCATTAATCCCCTTCCCTTGTCACATCTCGACCTCGGGCTAATGCTTGGTGTGTCACACCCATGCGAAGGATGTGGCTCAGGCTCTATTTAAATGTGCCCAAGCAAAATAAGTATGACAATTCCTTGAGCGGCATTAATGAAGAAAATATACTGTAGAGGCAATAATAAAGTTGTTATTTATATTTCCTTATATCATGATAAATATTTATTATTCATGCTAAAATTGTATTAATTGAAAACTTAGAACATGTGTGAATACATAGACAAAACAAAGTGTCCCTAGTATGCCTCTACTTGTAACATCCCAAATTTCCAATTTGGAATGTTATACATAGGTCATCATATGCATATCATATTTTATTTGCATTTTGGTTTTGTGATCCTAAAATCCTAAGCAACTCAAGGACCCACGGAGAGAGTTGGGGATTTTTATTATTTTCATATTTGAACTTTCTCAAATATTGAAAAGTGGATCATTTTGGTTTTATTTTTTTTCTCTCCAAATAATATTTCATATCAAAAATATATGAGAGGAGATAATATGACTTCTTCAAAATAAATGAAATATTGGAGGAAAAATATTAAAATCAAATAAAATATTTTATTTGGATTTATTGCTATTTTATTTAAATTAGAAAAATATGCATTTTCAAAATTGCATTTTTAGGCCAAGAAAATGTTCAATTTGTTCTAAATTTTTTATTTAGACTGTGAAAATTTGTTTTGACATTTTTAGATTTTTATTTTATTTTTATTTAGGACTTTTCTCGGTAGAACCGTATTTAAAAAAAAGTTTCGGACAGAACTGGGCCGAAGGCCCAGCCGGCCCAACCGAGCGCCGCCGCCTACCCGAGTCGGGCGCGACACGGACTCGCCGGAGTCCGGCCGCGCCGCGCCGCCCGGGTCGCCCCTCGCGCAAGCCGGAGCCGCCCCCCTTAAATACCGGAGCCCCCGCCGCCCTCTTCCCCTCGTCCCGCGTCGTCACCGCCGAAGCCGCCAGCCGCCG